CAACTTGATATTTTGTATATAATATGTATGTCAAAGTTTCTTACAAGAAAAATAAAATAATTTCAGTCACGTGGTTTGGAAGCCATCTTGAATTTCTTGCAAAATTACCACAACTTGGGGCATTTGTTTCTCAGGAGTGATTTGACATATCTATGTTATTTTACGCCTAGCATACACGTGATGAATACTATCAAAAATCGTGACCCATCGATTTATTTATCCCGTGATCTCATTACATTAATAACGATAAATTGTATCTGTTTTGTTATAGTGGCCTTGCTGTCATCTATCCCTGTCGCCCGATATCGAAGTGTGGTATACCATGATTGGTACGGCATACGACCATTCTGCATGGAGACTTGGCCGTCCCCAGTATGGGATATCGGCTGGTACGTATATATGATAATTGCTGCATACTTAGCTCCTCTGCTTATCATCTCTGTGTGTATGGGAATGATAATGCGTCTTGTATGGAATTCCTCATTGCTGTTTTCGACAACTCAGTCAAAGAGGCAACAGGCTAGGCAGCGACAGAAAATCCGAAAAACTCGTATGGTGTGCGTCGTCATATTTATCTTCGCAATCTGTTGGCTACCCGTCCACATCATGAACATCTGGACAAGAGTGGATAAGCATTATCCTGACAACATGGTAGCATATGGTTTTCAGTTGTTCGGCAACTGTATATCTTACGCGAACTCGTGTGTTAATCCTATCATTTACGCCTTCATGAGTGACAACTTTCGAAGACGATTCCAAGAAGTGTTTTCATGCTGTCGTAGAAAAACTCAGAAGAAGATACTAAACCGAGAGAGAGGAACAGTAATAATAACCATGAATAACGGGAAAAATAGTTCCTATAGAGGAAGACGCCAGCATCGGTACACTCCAAATCACACCAATGTCACAATATGTGAATCATCAATTAACCATAATTGTGCAAGTGATTCCGATGATAGCCTATCTAGTCCAGATATTAAGAGAACCCACAAGCACGTGCTGCGATCTCCCCGAGCCGGCGTCCAGGCGCAGGTATAATACGTTTGCAACTCAGCTTTGAATTAGATATGATTTGTGGTAACCATTTGTTCCAGCCGTTATTTACTCTCTCTTTTCAATTTTCTGTGTAAATTTACCATCACTAGTGCATCTAATCATATTCTATCATTACTTAAAGCGCGGTGGTCGTCGCGCAGCGCGTGTTCGAATTTCATGTAAATAAAGAATGTATTTTACACGCGTTGTATACGTCGCTATGAGTCCCATATCGAACAGAACGCTGCACGACGACTGTCGCCCTTTAAATTGTTCTCCAATATGTAAAACTCCGGCGTGTGAAATGAAGACTAATGTGAATGTCTGCTGTTTCACTGGTATCTCAAGAACCACACATTGTACACAGATGCTCTGGGATAATTCACATGCATGTTTTGCATGAAATTTTTGCATATTAATAACCTAATTTGCGCATTTTTAAAATCCAATTTTAAGCTGTTTCATAATATTGTACAAACTTGAATAATTTTTGGTTGCACTCTGTTGCCTTATTTTTATATCAGCCTATTTTATGTCTTGTACCTGTTTTTCAAGAACTGCCTAATATAATTCAACGACGTGTTGTACATGGACACTCTATAGTACAATTTTTGATTTAAATGTCAGTTTGAGTAAAATAGGTAACAATATTAGTTATGATTGGGTTGGGAGCGGTGGTGGGTATGGTGTAATCTCATTAATATGCACAACTAATACCTCAAGTGCTATCCTATTGTGTCAGGAAGGTGTCATCAAACAAAATCATCAAATATGGTAAATGGATTTTATTCATTTGTATTGTCGGCTTTTCAATTTTGAGCAACTGAATCAAAAAAATTGTACGTTGCATAGTTCACGAGTTACACTGGTTACTCGAATAAGTTGTTTATTATAAAACATCTCGTAATGCGTTGCTGTTTAAACTCTACTTCGGGTACGCACAAATTACAACTAACCCAGGAATTATGTATTCTTCGTAGTTTTTACAATAACCGTTCTATAATTACGAAAGCAGGGGGAAGACTAATGACCATGCAGAAAACAACTGAAAATTCCTTAAGTGAAAATGTTTATTGATTTTGTAATTTAATTTATATATATAATGTAGTGACGTCATTAAAACGCATAACTGTAATGGCTTACCTGCAATGAAAGACGACATAAATGGGATATAATGACGTAATTCACAGAAGTGCTTGGTTTACGACAGAACCTATCATACTAATTATCTAACTTACATAAATTATTTGCTCGTAGTTGTTTGACTATTAACACAAGCATAACAGATATTAAAAAGACTTTGTAGATCCACATATGTGATTAAGATTTGGAGTGAAATCAATACATGTTAATTATTTACATTTGTACAAATTAGAAAATTTTCCGATACCTCACAGTTATCATCAGATTTAAACTTGCACGGATGCTATCAAACCAGACATATAGAAATACAATATTTTTTTTTATTTTTTTTCAGTAACAGCTTTTTGTTATTATTAAAAACGTCTATAATGTGGATCATAATATTACATAGCTATATTAGTCGACAGGCTTCTTGTTTAATGAGCTAATTAAAATTTTTGAAGTCTTTAATATACCCTATTTTTGCTACATGTACCTCGATAATTCAATGAGGTTTTATGCTTTCCCTGATTTATATCAAGAAGTCAACCATGTTCTTTCCTTTTTCTATATTCTATATGTCTTTTCATTTTTTTTTATCCCGCCCATCATCACACCCTCATTATCATTTACATTAATATACTAACTCTTTGTGACTCCCATTCTCTCTCCCACATTATAAAACTGACTTCCAACTCATTGTCACTCTTTCGCACTACTTCGCTAACATCCACCCCACTGTTACTCTT